TAACCTCCCTTCGCCGGTTACGCTGCGGTCGTTGTGCCATCCCTATCTCCAGCCGTGGCATTCCCATTTCTGCATCGGCGTTGCGTCTCGTCTTCGTTTTTTGGAAAGTTGAGTGATATCTTTGCCATTTTCATTTGTGAGCAACTTGAGATAGCAAAACACATTTTAGTTTCATACAAACTCATCATATAGTAAAATGTATTAAGGTGGAAAATACAAAGGATAACATGGGTACCAGCGCACCCAATATGCCAAAAAAATTAGTAATTCAAAAAAGTTCAAAAAATCCGGAAACTTCTTTTGGTATCAAACATGATCAAGTATTGTAGTCGTATAAAAAGATTTGTCAGAGAAAGACTTTTGTTGTATCCTGGATCGAGGATTCGGCAAAAAAAGGCTATATACAAGCACTATACACACTATATTGTCGTCATAAACTTTTCTTTTTTGCCCTGAAGTCAAACTGAATTATTTCTTGCCCAAACTTTTTATACAAGTAGAATAGTTAATCATGTTTGATTCAAAAAAAATTTGAATTTTTTGAATTACTAAATTTTTTGGTGCATATTGGGTGCGCCAGAACCCGAGAGCACCAAGTTCCCATCCCGAGCTATCTTAGCATTGAGAAGTTTTGTCATTATCACATCACTGGGCGTATGCTGTCCCCGTGGATAGGGTCTAGATCGAATGGAGTTCGTTTTAAACCACGAATTCATGTGCTCATTGCAAATGAACATCAATCTTTCAATCCATGAAATCGACACCCTATACTCAATATTTCAAGTTAATTTTGACCCTGGACCCAGCTCCGGTCTGACGAGTGTGGCCTCTGCCTCATCCAACACCTTGAGAAGGAGTGGAATTCAGTTCAGCAGGTACATTGACAGCAATCTTCAGCATTTGGTCAAGTTCTACCGTTCCAGCCGAAAGCTTCTCGGCCATGGCAGCGGCCGCCTCTCCATCTCTCACTCTTCCTCCACCCGCGCAGCGCGCCACCCCAAAGCCGCGCCGCCGCACGCCGCCGCGAGACGTGGTCTCGTGGACGGCCGCCATCGCGCGCCCGGCGCGGGAGGGCGACCTGCCGTCGACGGCCGCGGCGCTCTCCGCCATGCTCTCCTCCCCCGACGCGCCTGCGCCCAACGACGTCACCCTCCTCACCGTTATCTTCGCCTGCGCCGGCGCCCCCTCCTCTCCGCTCGCCCGGCCCCTCGCGCTATCGCTCCACGCCCTCGCCATCAAGCTCTTCCCCAGCCACCTCCTTCTCTGCACCTGCCTCGCGCGGTTCTACCTCGCGTCCCGCCTCCCCCACCACGCCCTCCAGCTGTTCGGCTCCATGCCCGTCAGGTCCGTGGTCACCTACAACACCATGATCACCGCCCTCATGCGCAACGGCCTGGTCGCCGCTGCGCGCGAGCTGTTCGACGGAATGCCGGAACCGGATAAGGTTTCCTGGACGGCGCTCATCGACGGGTGCGTCAAGAATGGGCGCCATGACGAGGCAATCGATTGCTTCCATGCCATGCTGCTGGACGGTGTTGAGCCAGACTACGTCACGCTGGTAGCTGCCATCTCCGCGTGCGCTGAGGTCGGCGTGCTCGGTCTCGGTATGTGGGTGCACCGGTTCGTGACCAGGGAGAGGCTAGAGGGCAACATCCGCATCGCCAACTCGTTGATCGACATGTACGCTCGGTGCGGTCAGGTGGAGTTTGCACGGCAGGTGTTTGACAGCATGAGGAAGCGGACGGTGGTCTCCTGGAACTCGATGATCGTCGGGTTCGCAGCCAACGGACGGTGCACGGACGCCATCGAGCATTTCGAGGCAATGAGGAGGAAGGGGTTCAAGCCAGACGCTGTAACGTTCACGGGCGTGCTCACGGCCTGCAGCCTTGCCGGCCTCACCGACGAGGGGCTGAGGTACTATGACGCCATGAGGGCGGAGCACGGCATCGCGGCGAGGATGGAGCACTACGGGTGTGTTGTCGACCTGCTTGGCCGAGCCGGGCGCCTGGACGAGGCCATGAGCATGGTGGCGACCATGCCGGTGCGGCCGAACGAGGTGGTGCTTGGAGCTCTGCTTGCTGGGTGCCGGATGCATAGGGACGTGGACATGGCCGAGCAGCTGATGCAGTACCTCCTTGAGAAGGACCCCGGCGGTGACTCGAACTACGTGCTGCTGTCGAACATCTACGCAGCCGTCGGGAAATGGGATGGGGCCGGCAAGGTCAGGGGCCTGATGAAAGCCCGGGGGGTGAAGAAGAGGCCTGGCCGCAGCGCCGTGGAGATCGACGGCGACGTGGATGAGTTTGTCTGCGGGGGTCGGTCTCATCCGCAGGCTGCGGAGGTGTTTGGCATGCTTGGCCTGCTGAGCCATGAGATGGCAGGGCATGAGGCCGTGAGTTATGAATGAGCACCGGAGCGACTGCCTGTTTGCAGAATACTGGAGGCTTTCAGTAGTCGCCAGGCTCGGTGTTTCAAGCATCCGTAAAGGCTACTGGTAGATCAGCAACTTGTATTTGCATCTCTGCGGTTTCATGTACAGTCTCGGGAAGAGGCACCCAACATGTACAGTATGTCCAGATACAGCCATACAGGCGATGAGATCACGTCAAAAAAAGAAGAAGATACGTCAACAGATGAGAAGTATCATTGTAAATCTTCAGAAGCAAATCCACATGGCGTACCATCGGATGCTCATCTCATGATATATATGATCAGCTCAATCAAACATGGACACTGAATTTCTGGAAGGTGAAGAACAACACAAGCTCCTGAACTGATAATGTTGGTGTTACTGTGGAAATATTGGACTACTACTTCATTTTTCTTCGATTATATCACCCGTAATGTCTCACCTACTTGCTCCCGTATCCCTGTCAGAAACAATAACAGTACTCACTTCCATATTCATTGCTGTCAGAAGATCATATATTCATTTGTGCTCACCTACTCTTTCAAAGACAAGTGGGAGAGAATATACATGTCTCTATATGTGCACAATTTTTCTCGCCTATATATCCAACGGCTAGATAGGTAAGAAGAGAACATGGTGCAAACAAATAGTTACACCCAAACAAGCATTTCCCTGGTTTGCGCTACAAGAGACACAAAAAGGCCTTCTCTATAGATTGGTTTAGAAAGAAAAAAATGTTAGGAATGAGCGACACGGCTGCTGTTTGGGGCAATGCCTTAATCACGACGTCAATGATCAGGTCTATTTGGAGTAAGACGAAAAGGATCAAACATCTATAGAGGCTAATGCTTTGCTTGCGTCCATGAAAACATAAGAGGAAAAGAACCAACAGTAGATTAGAAGTTTGTCGTATCTTCAGTTCTTTGGTCACTCACTGTGACTCCAGTTGCATTTACAGTATCATGAAGGCTGAAAAGAATCCAACATGAACAGTAACACAATAGGTGATGAGATGACCCTTTTGATGAGCAGGCCAGAAGTAGCACTGCAGATCTTCTAAGAAAATCAACACGCATGGCTGCGTATGCGCATCTGTTGGTATATATGACATAGACACTGAAATTCTGGACCTCCTGTGGTAGAAACAAATTGTATTTCCATAGGAACTGAACTGTACAGGTATGGAGCAAGGTCACAGTCAAATACTCCATCCGTTCCAAAATATGTGCCGCGTGCCGTGGTTTTAGCTCAAATTTGAACTAAAACCACGGCAATTATGTTGGAATGGAGGGAGTAGTCAACAACATGGACAATACGATCAGTTTGCACTGGCAACAGAATGTGAACTGTACAAGTATGTAAACGCGGTCGGAAAGTGAACTGTTGTGTGAGCACTTAGCACTCCACACTGCACATCTTTCATTCCACACTCCGAGACTAGGCTACGGGCTCCATGAGATACAAATCCTATCAGCCAACAAGGTATCTCTTATTGCAGAGCTACCTTTCAACTGAATGCCGATAGGTGCTCCTCATGTTGGAAGCTAGCTATCTCATTGCCATTAACTCTTTATATGAGAACTGTTCTCTCTTAGTTTCTTGCACACAAACTATGTCCACTCACTCTATCACTTCAGAAGGTTGCCCCCTTCTACCTGGCCAGGCCCCTCACATTCAAGATTAGTGTCTCGTCATGGCGATGAGAGGCGGCGCAGCTTTGGGCGCCTGTTTGGAGAGGTGAGGTGGGGCTCAGAGAGGGAGACATGGCCACTGCCATGAGCTTGTACGGCTCAGAAACTATCTTCCCTCGGCTGGCTTGCCCAACTCTTTAATTCACAAGTTTTAGCCTGTCCTTTTGAAGATGGCGATTTGTAGATTGCTGTCACAAACATCTCCAAATGAGATGGCAAGCACTGGAATGGAATTGATTGTTTAAGATTTCTCATTGCCAAAAACAAAATAAGATACATTAACATTACAATTTACAGGTGATAAAGAACAGCAAATGAAATCGTTGCAGTTTACAACTGATCAACCAAATGCAAATCAATACGTTACACTTGCAATTAACAACTGATCAGTTTTACCACCGCTGTGGCAAGAGAACTGCTACTAACCAAACAGCTCACAATCTGGAATCAGGCCGAGAAAAGGGACGGTTGCATATGCCAGCGGCTGATCAACCAAATGAAAATATGTTGAACAACACAGGATGTTGGTGACTACAAAAGAATAAACCAATGGATTCACCGAGTGCAATGTCCACACAACATCGGAGCCATAAAACATATATAGACAACTAAAGAGTCCTCATGATGATGTATTGAACATTCCCAAAGGGGAGAAATTACATAGGCGAAATTACATAATGCTTGTGACAAACGAGCACAACCATCAAAACTTGGTTCACCAGATGACTAAGTAGGAAGGGAGATTCAGGCCAGATTCAGGCCAGAAGATGACACTCCTACTACACTGACTTCATCTTGAGCAAACAGGTCCAACCTTGCGCATGTGCTCATTGCTATTCTGCCTGACAAATTTTCCGAAGTTTCGGCTCCCATGCTAATTAATGGCCACATCTGGTCTCTCAAGTCTCAATGTCATTTCCAGTGAATCTGGACCTCATATAATCAACTGCATGTTCCCTCCAGTCTGATAGAGATGCGAACGGCAACAAACCAGCCAAGCATGGAAGGACCAAAGAGAGCACAGCGTAGAATATGTACCGGCGAACCCAATATGGCAAACCGAGAGCCTTGGGTCTGTGCGTCACAGAAATAGGACCATAAAGACCACGGTATAGAAGAGATGGATAGGTGTTTCCAAGTAAATGGATGGCGCAAAGGATTTCCCAGAATACAAGCCAAACATTTCCATCCCCGCCTAGGGTGTCAACGCAGAACCTTCCAACAAAACCACAAACACCTCCCAATAACACAAGATTGAATGTTATTGGCATGTTGGGTCCAGTCATTGCTGAACGCTGGAATATCAACCATCCGATCAATAGAATCATCAGCATGCCAAATGATATCCTTGTTGCTGCAATCAAATGACATCTGAAAAACAGCAATCCTGAGTTGAAAGCTGATACAGAGTTTGGAATCCACCAAGATTTGGACTCCTGCAAAACAAGTCATGATAAAAGAAAGGAGATGAGCTTATCTTCGATCAAATAATTCCTAGTAATTAAATGGCAATCAAAGACAATGGCACATACCCTTGAAGCAGCTGCACAGGCTGCAGTAACAGCGGTTATCCGCTGGTACGAATAAATATATGTTCCATATCCGAAACAGGCAGACATAAAAACTACTGCTGTCAGAAGCATATCTATAAGCCTCTTGAGGAGTTCAGCATATCTCGTGTCCTGCATTTGAGTCTTTAATTTCTCCTCTCTGAAAGCAGCTTTCTGAAATCCCATAGAGATCTTGATCTTCTCTAACATGTGTGAGTAGGAGCTGAGAGCTAAATGAGATTGCTTTAGTTGCAACTTCCTCATATTAAGCCCTATTTCAAGTTCTTTGAGCTCATTTGAACGAACTTGCTCATTCAGAGATCTCTCAAATACATTAAGGATGTCCTGATCACATTCTGGACTAGATCTGCTACGAGGTAGCTGAATCAGCTGCTGATTGACACCCGTGTGAAGAATAATCTGCTTATTCATGGAATTCAAGTATGTATTCTGCTGGACATCAGGTATCGGGCCTATTGAGTCAGCGCCACTCAATTTGGTCTCAGCCACAGGATTGCCATCACCGTGAGAACATTGAGGGATATCTTGCTCACAGGCAGGTGCCTCATTGAGTAGATGAAGGGTCCTCAGTGTACTGCCAAATGATTTCTCAAAGTTTCCCATGAAACTATCAAACCTGTCTCCATATATCTACAGAAAAGTTATGTCAGATATACCAAACCAGTCGAAGCAGAGCATTGAATAAGTTGAACCAGTCATACATTTGTTAAGGACTCCTTCACTGCTGAGGTACACATCTGCATTCAAATTCAGTGTTAAGGAACCATGGTTAATTTCTATCTGAAGCAATCGCTGCGAAAAGAGTAAAAAGAAGAGATATGAAGTGCACACCTTTGAAAGAAAATCAGGTTGTAATCTGCTTCCAGAACCGCCGCTTTTATTCAGAACCTATAGTGGAAAAGATGTGTCCTTGTTATTCAGGAGTTACGACTAAGTACTGTAACTAGTAAATTTCTTCCCAAATAAGAGTTGATTACTGAATAAGAAGATTACAAATGAAAGCCTAGTCCATGCTTCTGAGAACACACACCACACATACACACATGAGCATTAGCAGCTGATTACTGGCTTTCCAACCTCCCACATAATTTTACTACATTTATTTGGTAACTAGTTAAGTTTGATTGAATATTTGTGGAATGCATTTCTACTAGACCATGATAAATCAAAAATATGTGAGCGAACTCTATCAATTAAGACATATTGAGATGTTCTAGTCTACTGTTTGGCATTGCACTAGATTATGATAATTTTGTATGCGCTACAAACTGTTGCCTACTGTTTGGCTAACCAAAATATTCCTTCTTTCGTGGCTATTTTTCCACAATAGGTTATAAAAATAATTTCAGTGTAGTACAGTAACAGCAGCAAACTAAGCCTTAACCACTGAAAGCACCAAGTTAAACAGCATTATGCTGAAGGATAGACTTCAAAAGGAATAAAAATGGGTATTTATTATCAAAATCATGGAACCCATAGGTTAGTTCTAGTCTTAAAATGGAACTATTATGTTTGCATTGTTGATGCCCTGATCGAGCAGCACCCTAACAAATTTTGTGTTTCCTTCCTTAATAAACACGTAAACCTCAAAACCCCAAGTACGACAGACTGCACAGATGTCTGACTCGGAAAATAATAGCGGAATAAACATATAAATATCGCTTTTGCACTGAACCGCGTTAACGAAAATCAATGCACTGAGAAACTTTTCGTGTTTAGTAACAGCATGTATTAACACTCCACTATATCCTGCAGAAAAACATTTTCTCAACAAATTGTACACCAAAGGAAAGCGCTTGTCAGTTACCCCACCACACGTGCCCCCAAGACCGACGGTAGCTGCCTAGCTTAGGGGTTTTGGTGTTCTGTCTGGCAGTTTTTAGCTACTATATTGTTTGGCTTTCCAATGCTGTTTGGTTTGGGGGTTTTGCCCTGTTTTTTTGGCTTGGTTTGTAATTCAGGCCTTCTTTAGCATTTTTCTTAACAATTCTTTAGCATTTTTATGATTAAATCTGTTTGAGAAAAAACTGAACAGTTAAAATACTATGGGAAAATATAATTAAGGCACTAGAAAACCACATTAAAACCAGAATAATCGATTCTGGTCAGATACCACCCATTTAACCTTTGCCTGTCCATTCTACTAGTACCACAATTGTTCTGAACGGTGGCCCAAGCGGTGTATTTTATTCAAAATGTCATGAACTGCACAAATACACAAGACGGCCCAACCCTGGATTGGAACACGAAAAGAATATCGTTTTCCCCCACAAAAGAACTAGAAACTTCCGCCGTATCTAATGTTTCTGAACGTTCACCAAAAGAATTAGAGTAGTATTTGTACTTCCTAGGAGACAGGGAACTCCTGAGAACTTCATTGAAGCTGCAAATATCCTACTAAATTAAATTATAAAATGTCACCAAATTAGCCATTGGCATCCAATTGGTTACAGGTGCGTTCCGAGTGTACGCAGCACAGAATTAACCCCAACAACACAGTAAATTAGCAATCAGAGGGACCATGCTCATGCTCGAAGGCAACAATCCTCAGAACCGCACGAGGGGCGAAAAAATCGGATCTTTCGGCCGCCTACCAATCAAGGAACAACAGCAGAAGCCGAAAAACCAGAGGAGACGCTCACCTGGGCGAGAACCGCCGCGAAGGACATCCCCAGAGGCAGCGCGAGGTCCTGCACGCCGTCACCGGCGCCCTTGCCGCCGTCGCCGTCGCCGCCCTCTCCTCTCCGAGCGGACAACGGCCGCCGGCGCCGCCGCAGGTGAATCCCCTTGTGCGGCCGGGAGCGCCGGGAGGCCGAGCCGGTAGACGACGCCGAGGAGGAGGCCCTGTCGGCCTCCGCCGAGTCGCCGGCGACGTGGGCGGCAGCCCCGTCCATCGGAAGGGGGCCCGCTCCTCTGGTCAGGGGGAGGGAGTAGGGTTAAGTCGCCTGCCTCCCCTGTTTTTTCTGCGCGCCTGTGGGGTGGGCGCCGCGCGTTCGAGTCCCGGTGGGCGCGTCACTTTTAACCGGGGGGAGGGCAAGTGAGCCGAAGTCGGAACGCGGGGCGAGACGGCGTCGTGATGACGCTGAGTTAGCCGTTGGAGCGATCGCGGAAGCTCTGAGGAACAACTTGTGCGTGTTCTGCTTCGGGCCTGTTTCTTTCCCTTTCCGTTTCTCCTTCTTTTCTTCCCAAATTCTGAACTCTGAGCACGTTTATGGGAAAGTTGTATGTACATACTCCGGGTTTACAAGTACAGTGCCCTTGCATTTTAGGTCAAAAATTTGACCATAGGTTTAACTATAGCAAAATTTAAGTAAAATATGATGCAGTTTAGATCACTAGATTTGTATTCAAAAAAAGTTTCGATTGATATTATCTCTATTGGTACATGTCTGGATAAATCCTTGAGAACTGAGGTGACCTCGATCGGTCGTGATGTTATTTGGACGTATGCTTTGTATCTACACGCTCAAGATACTTCATCAAAGTTTCTACTAGGACCATGTTGAAAAATGAGACAAGATCCTAAGTGCAAGTATAAGGCCAACTCTAGCGCACGCCCCCATTCTATTCGGGTGCGTTCATTTGGGGTAGAACGGACGAATAGCTCGGCCCAACGCGCGGCCCTAAACGGACAAATGTCCAGATTTCGTCCGTTTTCAACCCATCCCCAGCACAAACTTGCGCCGAGTTTGGGGTGAAAGGGACATCGCGCGGACGGACTCGACGCACGCCCTTGTCCTCCCGTGGCCGGCCTGTCAGGGACACTACCAGTCCCTTCACTTCCAATGCGTCCACCCCCTCTCCCCGCCCCATCCCGTCGCCGGCGCCGCCACTATTCTCCGGCCGCCTCCTCACTGCGCACCCCCCGGCCGTCCATACCAAACCACGTCTCGACATGGCCGCCACCACGCCCGCGCTGTCACGCCCAATATGCGACCCTATCCAAAAGGAACTCGAAGGTCCCACCAAGGATAGACCCGCATATTCAAACGCTTTTGCAAGGTGGATATCATTACATCAACATTACATAATACAATGGGGATACATACAAGAGGCAAACAATGCCCCACGAATACAACATCACAATACATCCGAGCATCATCCGGCTACGGATAAAACACAAACAGAAACTCAAACGACATCCACCCTGCTAGCCCAGGCTGCCGACCTGGAACCTATCCCCTGATCGAAGAAGCAGAAGAAGAACTCAACGCAAGCAAGCATCGCTCTCGCGTCATGATCATCGCAAAACCTGTACCTGCAACTGTTGTTGTAGTAATCTGTGAGCCACGAGGACTCAGCAATCCCATTACCATGGGTATCAAGACTAGCAAAGCTAAAAGGGTAAGGAAGGGGTAAAGTGGTGAGGTTGCAGCAGCGACTAAGCATATATGGTGGCTAACATACGCAAATAAGAGCGAGGAGAGAGCAAGCAGAACGGTCGTGAGCTAACAATGATCAAGAAGTGATCCTGAACTCCTACTTACGTCAAACATAACCCAGAAACCGTGTCCACTTCCCGGACTCCGCCGAAAAGAGACCATCACGGCTACACACGCGGTTGATGCGTTTTAATTTGGATCTGATGTCAAGTTATCTACAACCGGACATTAACAAATTCCCATCTGCCTATAACCGCAGGCACGGCTTTCGAAAGATTATACCCTGCAGGGGTGTCCCAACTTAGCCCATGACAAGCTCTCGCGATCAACGAAGGAATAGACTTCTCCCAGGAAGACCCGATCAGACTCGGAATCCCGGTTTACAAGACATTTCGAAATGGTAAAACAAGACCAGCAAAGCCGCCTGATGCGCCGACAAATCCCGATAGGAGCTGCACATATCTCGTTCTCAGGGCAACACCGGATGAGACTAGCTACGAGTAAAACCAACCCTCAAGTTGCCCCGAGGTGGCCCCGCAGGCAGCTCAGTTCGGACCAACACTTAGACAAGCACTGGCCCGGGGAGGGGGCTAAAATAAAGATGACCCTCGGGTTGGCCGACCCAAGGAAAAGGGTAGGTGGTGGTGAGGCAAATGGTAAAACCAAGGTTGGGCCTTGCTGGAGGAGTTTTATTGAAAGCGAACTATCGAGGGGGTCTCATAAATCACCCGACCGCGTAAGGAACGCAAAATCCGGGAACATAACACCGGTATGACGGAAACTAGGGCGGCAAGAGTGGAACAAAACACCAGGCAAAAGGGCGAGTCTTCCACCCTTTACCAAGTATATAGATGCATTAATAATATAAGAGGTATTGTGATATCCCAATCAAAATCCTGTCCACCATGGAGCAATCTTCAACTTCACCTGTAACTAACAATGCTATAAGAGGGCTGAGCAAAGCGGTAATATAGCCAAGCAACGGTTTGCATAGAAAAGGTGTCAAGGTTAGAGGCTGACATGGCAAATAGGGAGGCTTGATAAACAGGTAATAGGTAGCGCAGCATAGCGATAGAACGAAGCAACTAGCATAGCAATGATAGTAGTGAGATCCAGGGTAGCGGTCATCTTGCCTGAAATCCCGCAAGGAAGAAGAACGAGTCCATGAAAAAGACGAACGGATGAAGCCGAACCAACCGTAGACGAACGAATCCTCACGATCGCAATGAAACAGGAACTAACAAGAAGAGGCACACAACATGGTAAACACACCACACATAGACAAGACATGATGCACAACAAGCATGATGCATGACAAGACTACATGAAACTACTCATGGCAAGAGATGATGCAAACAAGAACAACACATCAAGGCAAGTTTAAATGAGGCCGGGAACAACATATAACAATTCCGGTAAGTCCTCATATGCATGTTTCGAAATTGGTCCAGATCTGAATAAACATTATGTTCAAGTAGTTAAACATCAAGTTAAGATGCACCAAGATGATCTACACGAGAATCTAGTCAAGTTACATATAAAGTTCATTTAGTTCGGAGCTACGGCCTAGAAGATATGAGCAAAACAAGTTAAACATGGCATTGATGCAAAATGCACCCAAACATCAACCAAACACCTCAAAACAAGGATGCAACATGATAATATAAAACTACATGCAAAATCACACAAGTTTCATATAGAGCACACTCAAAACGGAGCAACGGTTCAACACACACACATGAAACAAGTCATAGCAACAATCTGTCCAAAACAGCAACTAGGCATATTGCAAGCATCAAAACAACATGCTACAGGACCTCAACAAGAGAACAAAAGGCATGAGCATGATGTACAGGTAAAGCATAACAAAACATGAACACTAAGCTATCTCCAGAAATCACTAGAACATGTTCAAACACACATGGTAAGATTGCAAGTAATAACAATTCAGACTTTGCAGAAAATAACATCACGATGCAATATTTAGAGCTATCAAACAACATGTTACAGGAACTTATAATAGCAAAACAAGACATGGCATGATTCTACTCAAAGCATAGATCAAAAGTCCTTTAGTGACCATAAGCCAAAAAGGATCAGAAAATATGATGGCACCCATGTAAACATAGCAAGTTATATTACAGATTCAAACATGGCAGAAACAGAATTATGAAGGCATGTAGATAAGGTTGTGCAACTCTCTACAGAGCAATACATGGCATGGCAAGGCACCCAACAGTAAGAAGACATATTTGTGAAGCTAAGCATGGCAAGAGCAAGGTCATAAGGTGCAAGGATCACTAGGAAAACACATGGAAACAACTGAACTTAATGTTAACAGGCTGACAATAACATTATGAAGCAACTTTGGAGCAAGATATGAACAAGCTACAGCAAGCTATAAATGCTACCAGGGGCATGGATGGATAGAGGATGACATGTAGATCAAAACATGTTTATAGAACATCTCCAGATTATGCATAGAATGATTAGTAGCAACATGTTTATATAGCATCACGAAATAACAGATTCAGCCTAGCAAAACAGCAACATCATGTATCCTACTTAACAAGCTCAATTCACTCACCGCAAGTCATTGCATGACAAGATAAGCATAGCATCGTCAAGAAGGCATGTTTATGTAACAATCCAATGCAAGAACAAGTTCATAGCATGCAAGGATCAACTATAGCAACCTTGGTAAAATTGAATAACATGTAAACAATATGCCAGGAAACATTTTGAAGCAAAAGTAGAGCACGAAAATGACATGCTAGACTACTCCATAATTACAAACAGGGGCATGAATGGATATAGAACAACCATATGTTCAAAACATCATTACTGAAGTATCTCAAAATATGCATGGATCTCTCTGTAGCATCAAGTTTATATGGCATCAAAATAACAGCAGAACAGGGACTAAAATCAGTAACATCACGAAGCCTAGTTTGCATGCTTGTGCTAGTCACCACATTGATCACAAAAATACATGGTAAGCACCTCTGTAAAGAAGACATGACATAGTTCAAAACACATGTAGACATCAACCTCATAGGATGCACACATCAATCATGGCAAAACTGACAAAAGAGCTCGTTCTGTTAACAGACAGCAGATAACATCATGAATCACTCTTACAACGATGATTCAGGCATCAAGATGACCTCAAATGAATATGATGCAATGGAATGAAATGATGTACTCGTCGAGGCGAATAACTTGACATATTACACGCACGAAACGGAGCTACGGATGCAGAGATATGATGCGTCGAACATGGCATGATTATTACAAAAATCTTGGACTTGGCAAATTTCGGGGGTCAACCTTCGTTTGCTAAGATCCAGATCGGGGTTCGCCGGAGTTCGCCAGAGAAGGACGGATCCTGCGGCCAGAGTCGAGGGAGAGGTCGGGGAAGAGGCGGAGGAGGCGGATCCGGGGCCGGGGGGCGCGGGGCGGCGAGCTCGGCCGGCGAGGAGGCCGGGGCGGCGGCCGGCGAGCGCGGGC